CAAAGATACGCTGTGACGTGGTGGATACCCGATAGCGAGAGATCATTTTAAAGAATAGAAGACGGAAACGCAATGAATGAAGAGAGAACGATAACAGGAGACGATAGACGAGTAAAAAAAACATATAGGAACAACATTCAGTATGTACCGGAAAGCGGTCGCTGCACCGGTGGGATGTGGGTTAGTGGCGCGGCCCCCACCAGACAGCTGAGTCTGCCTGTTATCTCTGTCGGGTAGGAGGGGACAACATAGGTCCGAGTGCTGTCTAGCCCTTAGGTAATCCAAATTTCAAACATTGTGTATTGCAAGCGTAAACAAGTGTGCTAAATATTTTTTATTTTATTTTATTATTTTTTTATTTTTTATTTTTATTTTTTTTTGCTTCGCTTATGTTACAGCTCAGTCTCCGTTGGAATCAGAGGTCCATATTTGTTAGCAGAATACGTCATGCAAATTCATACGTAACTACCGTTTTGGAACATCATATGAATGTTGTATAAACCGAGAATACTGGTAGTTTTATAACCAAACAATTCAGAATTTCGCAGTACAAGTCTTGGGCATGACCTGTATGTTAATGACAGTATTACCTATTAATCATCAGACCAATAATATACCACAATTCAGCAAAATCTCAACATCCTACTCGGCATCACAACAAAAATAGCATCACGGCATCCCACGCTTTCCCCGGACGAGCTGAAGAATCACGTGAGGAACTGCCTCGTTCGTTTTATAACTAAATTCTCTCTTGGTGTTGGTATTCCTCCACTTGGCCTTGGTACCGTTGGGAGATGCTTGGCAAGTCAACTGAATGTCTTAGAGCGAAGTCAATTGCTTTGATCTTCTTCACGAGAAAACGAAGAAAATACAGCACTTTGCTAATGGACATCGATCGCAAGTGAAAAGTTTTACGGAGTTGATATAATTTGTTTTTACGATTAAAATCATCGACGATGGAGAGTCATACAGAGCTACAGAGCTTAACCTTCATTACGACTGTAAAATTAAAACAGATATTAACTTATATGCACTATGCGTCCTTTTTAAATAAGAAACACGAGAGCGTAGTACTTTACTTATCAACAAATTATTGAACATCCTACACACTTTAATGCTAAAATTGTTCTTGCCTAGGACGATTTTGTACTTGAAAAACAATTACACGAAATTATCATAATCTTCCTTGGATGAATTACCTTCAGAGTTTAGTAACCGTGATATTCAGATAAATATATATATGTAATTTGCTATTAAAGTCTTTGTTTAATTAATCTGCATTGTCATAGGAATATATTATCATAAATTATATCCTTTAAATTGCCTCATTATATATGATTTGAATGACATAAACAAGGAGCATTAATATGCGTTGCAAGACTAATGGATATAATCATAGTAATAGAAATATGTTACCATAAGCTGCATCCTTTAAATGTCATTATCATATATAATTTGAATATTATAAAGAAGGAGAATCTAAACCTATAAGAGTTAAAACACTTAAAAGAAAAACAATAAGGGAAAACAAATGACCAGAATTTATACACAACAAATAAAACATTGCAAAAGAAAATAATAAACATAAACCGAACGAGATAATGCATAATAACGAAAATTGCGTATATGACGCAACTACGCCAATTTGCCCCGCCCCCCCCCAAAAAGGGTAATTTGCATAAAATATTCATCAAAGAGTAAGAAGGACGAGTTTAATAGGATAACGAACACGAACATCGTCTCATTTTCTCATCAGTGCTTTTAGTTTCTGCTTGAGTGTCATGGCCTCAGTTTGCGAGGACAACGGATGCAACATAAAGGCGCTTCTTGTTTTTGAATAAATTATGACACTCATGGTCGGACGCGTATAGTCAAATGCAAAACATTTGTAAATTTACATACATTTATACCTACATACATCGACACATACATACATGCATACATACATTTATACATGTTGGCATACATATATTCATTCACACACACACAGAGACATATACATATATATGTATTTATATGTATATATGTATTTCTACCTATCTATCTATCTCTCTATATATACATACATACAGACTTCTCTGTGTGTGTAAAAATATATATGTATATATATATGTATATAAACATTATGTCCATACAGACAGACATATACATATACATATATATATATATATATATATATATATATATATATATATATGATATATATATAGATATGTGTGTGTGTGTGTGAACATTACATACATATATTCATACATACAGACATATATAATATTATATGTATATATATAATCATATATGCAAACACACACACACACACACATACACACACACACACACACACTCATACACGCACACACACACACACATACACACACATATACTAACGTTTCTCATAAATATTGCAGAGAAGAAATTCCAATAAAATAGAAAACGGAGTTAGCGAGGGGAGAACTCCACTAGAGCGACATAAGCTCGCTTTTGGGAATCAGTCACGCGAAATTGAACGCCCCCCTCCCCACACCCCTACACCTACCCCCGCTCCACTTCCCTCCATCCCCCCCGTCCCTCTTCCCTCCATCCATCGCTCCCTCCACCCCTCCATCTCTCCCGTTCCATCTCCGCGACAGCATGACTCGGTATTCGAGAGAAAGCTTCTGCTCTCTTTCACAACATGACAACCTTCACAACTCGGAAAATTATCTGATATCTAAATTGCAGAGCTGTATCAAATGTCGTTTGTTCTCCAACCACTACGTGCCTTTATTATTTCTAACAATCTTCCGAGAAATTTACTCTCTAGCGAGCTCAATTGTTGCAAATCTGTTGCATTATTCATAAATCCAGAAAGACTGTCACTGGAATGTATATTCTATTTATGTGTATATACTTATACCTGTCCACTGTGAATTCTAATGAAGTATAGTGTGGCTTAATAACTGTGGATTCTCTTATGTATATTGTTTGTATGTAACAACTGTAACGCATTGTTTTATTCTGCTATCAGCTGAGAGAATCAACTGTTTATCAAGCACACGTAGAGATTCTTTCGTCAGTCTAGACATATCGTTTCAGTATCAGCTAAACGCGACATTTTCGGTACACAGTTACCATCGCCCTCATCATCACTATCACCCTCAACGTCACTACATCCTCAGCGTATTATCATCCTCGCCCTCACTATCACTATCACATTCAACCTCACCTTCACCATCATCCCCACCATCGCAGTGCATTTACCTGTAGGACGAGATTCACCTCTCACACCGACGGAGCGTACAGCTAAATTAAAATGGGCGAGGTTGGACTTTTCACTACACTATATATCCTCTGCTGATGAATGCGGCCATGATGTAGTCTTTTTTTGTTGTTTGTCTGTTTGTTTTTTGTTACATGGACTACGTGATCATTCCCGGGTGCGTCTCCCGGGTTAGCAAAGTGCGAGTTTTTGCTGCGCTGGATGAGCAGAAACCCGTATAAAAACACTTTCCCTCGTGTGATAAGCCACTCTTACGGGATGTTTTTTAAAGGTAGAAAAATACTTACGGAACACATGCATTCAAGATGGCAAACGGGTGCAATGAACTGCATATTCAGAAGGAAAAAGAAGGAACATATTCAATTATCATATTTTAATCAATATCACACACAAATGATATCGAATGCCCAAAATTTGAGAAACAATGAAAAAAAGTCAGGTAATTAAGAAAAAGACCTTGAAATCGGATTCTATTTCACAATGAACGAAGATATACATGGCCCACCTCTTCTGTCTTATTAGGTATACAGAGTCCAGGTAGAGACATTTTGTTAGTTTATCAGTATTCATTTTATTAAGATTTGTAGTATGTACCTGTGCCGATGTACAGTTAGGTGCCTCCATGTTGACAATTTTATGCATTCTTTTATCAAAATCCTATAAAGGCCTATAAAAAGGGAGATACGAATGACATTTTTTTTTTAAACGTCGGTGCAAAAATACAGTGGCACACGAAAACACTGAATACCTGTGTTGTATAGATTTTACAGTGATTTCAAGGAAATAGCATTTTCCTTTTTAGTGTATATGATTTATATATATATGTATCTATATGTATATATATATATATATATATATATATATATATATATATATATATATATATATGCACATATACACACACATATTTACTTATATATGTGTGTATGTATGCATATATATATACATATATATGTGTGTGTGTGTGTGTTGGGGGGGAGGGGGTAAATAGACAAATATGTACACGCATACACACACATATGTATATATATATATATATATATATATATATATATATATATATATATACATATATGTATGTGGGGGGGATGATGCCAAGTAGTTTGTCAAACACTGCATCGGTGTATACATATACACAGTATATACATATATGCATATATATCGAGACACACATACACACATATGTGAACGTGTGTGTTTGTGTATGATGTATACGATTTGTGTTTCTGGCAATAAAAAAGTAGAATATACTTTATATATGCTCGTGATTAGACAGATATGTGTATGTTTATTCACCTACACCTATATGGTTGATGGAACCTTGAAGAGCTACTTTTTATACAAATTTTTTTTTAACCCGTCTGATTTTTTGTATGAGTCTCGTGAAATGTTTGTGTGTGTCCAGATGTACACAAACTAGCTCAGCAAAAAGTGGTTTATAGAAAAAATATATATATAAATAAAAAATAGAAGAAGGATACGCCTAAGGATAACTATTATTTACGATATTCATATATATGTCTGTATGTATATGTATACATACATACAAGATAATCTTATTAATCATATCGGTTAACTAATAACTACTTTTTTGTATTATTCTTTTAGTTTTTATTTCTATTTTTCTACCATTTTGATAAAATACTTTTTTCTTTGATCGTATGCATGTAAATCTACCATCATCAACAACACGTCGCTTATGCGTTGCTGTTGTTTATTTCTTCTTTCTTTTGTTCTCTTCATTAACCACATCAAAGTCTTTGGTGGGATAGATATAAAGCATTATCAACAACTTCATTTATGCGTTGCTGTTGATTTCTTTTCCTTTCTTCGGTTCTCTTTTCATCAATCAATTCTCATGAAATGCTCGTGTTAGAATACTTCTCCCATGTATATTCTTAAATATACGACCATCAACAACATCATTTATGCGTTGCTGTTGTTTCATTCTCCTCTCTTTGGTTCTGTTCATCAAGCCTCATAGAAAAATGTTTGTGAAGAAATACTCCCATGTATACGAAAATATACCATCGTCAACAGCAACGTCATTTATGCGTTGCTGTTGTTTTTTCCTTTCTTTGGTTCTCTTCCTCAAGCCTCATGAAACGGTGTTTGTGGTGGAATACCTCTCCCATGTATATGCGTAAATATACTAACATCAACAGCAACGTCATTTATGCGTTGCTGTTTTTTCCTTCTCCTTTCTTTTGTCCTCTTCATTAAACCTTATCAGATGTCTTCCATCATTTTCCAAGGTCGGTGTTCTTCCAAGGGGTCACACAATGCACTTCCTTGTTACGGCGGACAAAAACAACCAATTGTGCATAGGGTCGTTTTCTTTTGGTTGTTGGCATTCTCCCTCTGTATTATTGTGCTTCGTTTTGCTTATTTTCTGCGAAAGAGATTCGTGTGAAAATGAAGAAAACAAAGGAGTATGAGGTGGATGCATGCATGAGTAAATGTGAATGGAAGTGATGGGCGGATGTTACATAACGGAGGGTAAGTATATGAAAGAGAAAATTACATAGATAATAAGGGAAAGAGAGGTGGGGAAAGAGAGAGAGAGAGGTGTATATATATTTATATATACATATACGCATATGTATATATATACATATATATTCATACCCATCTGTCTATCTGTCCATCTATCTATCTATCTTTATCATATACATGATACATACATACATATATGTATATGTATATATATACAGTACATATATACTTACATATACACACATTTATATGTATGTATATGTATATATACATATAAACACATGCATATGTGTGTCACTGTGTATATATATATGTATATATACATATATATACATATGTGTATATACATGCGTGCGTGTGTGTGTGTTTATATATATCTATATATATGTATATATACACATATGTGTATTTATATATACAAACACATGCATATATATGTATATATGCACACATGCATATATATATACGTATATATACATATACATGCATACATACATATGTGAGGTTTTCAACCTCCTTCCCCCCTCCCCCCATATTCCATCACCTAATCCCCCCCCCCCTTTCCTAGCTCCGATCCTCCTATCCCTCTAGTCCCGTTATTCGCATCCTCTTTCTGTCCCCTCGCTTTTTCTCTCCTCCCTCTACTTCCACGGTAGCTTCTCCCTCTTCTACTCGTTTTCCTTGCTTGTTCAACCTTTTATCTCTATCCCTATAGTATCCTCCCTCCATCCTATCCCTATTCTGCCCTGCCGCGTTTCCCCTCGTACCCCTCTTATTCGCACTCTCTTCTTGTTCCTTCGCTGTTTCACTTTCTTCTATCTCTACGCTAATTTCCCTCTTTTCCATTCCTTTCTCCCGTTTGTCCTACCTTTTACCTTTAATCCTATCCTCTCCTGCTCCAATCCTACCCCTATCCTATCCAGCATCCTGGCGAAATCCACAGGGCGAGTCGAGCACAGCCGAACCACTTCCTTCCGCCAGCTTCTTTTCTTACGCTTTTTATTTTTGTACTACGCTGGTCCTTATTTTCTACCTGTATTTTACGTTTATTTACACCCATTTGTACATTTTTAAATAGAGATTTTGAGATCCTTTGTTTCCATGTATGTTACAAAGATTCGGATGTGCGGATAACAAACATCTGCTGCGACTGCATCTTTTTTTTTTTTTTTTTTTTTTTTATTCCGTTTTATTTTTTAATGGTTTCTTTTTACTTATTCATCACTTTTACGGCAAGAGAAAGTTACTTATTTTAAGATTTTTATTAATGAATCGCAGCAGATTCTTTTACGTTTTTTTTTTTTTTTACCATAATTGTAATTCTTTTATAATTTCTTTTAACGCTTTATTATTTTTTTTTATTATTGGTTTCATCTTTTGTATATTTTCTTTTATTATAATAATTCCTACTTAATGTTTTACTATACTTATGTGCTACGCCGCCGTCCGCTTGAGTTAATGTAATCCCCATGTTTTGGTAAAATAATTGAAGTGGATACTCTGACTGTGTCTTAACTACCCTTTGGATTTACCTGTCTGGATTCTACACCGTGGATGCCGAAACAAGGTTGTACTGCCCCTTTTACTTGCCCAGGTGTATTTATGCTGGACGTGCCTTTTTATTATTTTACTTATACTGTGAACCATGTGTGCTCCTTTGACTTTTACTTTTTACTTTCTCTGAATTTTACTTACCTTTACCTTGTCCTTTTACTTGTTACTTTTATTCATACTCACCTTTTACTCGTCTTTTACTTGAGCTTTTACTTCAGCTTTTACTTTTTCCCTCATTTTACTTCTTACTTGTTTTATCTTAGATGTTAGTTTTTTTATTGTTTTTATGCCCTTCTGACATGCTTTGCAGTTTTTCTTAAGCCTTTCTGGCGTAATTTTATTCACTTTAAAGCCCTTCTGGCAATTGTCTTTTACTTATCAACTTGTTCTACTTTGGGGCCTTCTGCACGGTTCTTTTTGTTCATTTTAGATTTTTTGTATTTCTATCATGCATCTTCGCATTGGTCACGCTCCTGGTAGGCCTGCATCTCCGGGGATAATTGGCTTGTGAGGTCGTGTGGGTTCTGAGCCTTCAGCTCGGTCCCCTCACCCCCTTTTTCGAGGAACGAACGGGGCCCTCCTTTTCCTTGGCCCCTAAGCCTGAAGCCTCCCGCCTCACGGGTGGCCTCTTTTGGGTTCCTCTGTCCCATAACCTCACACATACATACATATATATAAATGCATACATATACACAAACACACACACATATATAGTAAATATAAGTATACATATAAAATATATATAAATATAATATGTATAAGAATATATATAAATATATATATAATATATCTACATACATACATATATACACATATGTGTGCAGATTGTACATACATATGCATACAAAAAGTACACACATGTGCATTTTCACACTGTCAGATTCTTCCGATAGGCGCGCATCTTGCATAAATGACAGGTAGTGCCTTGCAAACTTGACCCTGCTACACATGCACCGAAGATCCGTGGCATGCACTCGCAAACAATCCTCGACCTAAAGCCCTACTTATACCTTGCCTGACCAAGGCTAGAGTCATGCGCGGCATACATCGCATTCCTCATCGCTGCAAGGAATGTTTGTCTACATAGAGAGCGCGAATTCTATTAGAGCTATGTTAAAAGATTATTGATATAACTGTATGTATGTATGCATGAATACGTGTATTTACTTACGTAAAAAGAAAACACACACACACACACACACACACACACACATACATATACACACACACACACACACACACACACACACACACACACACACACACACACACACACACACACATATATATATATATATATATATATATATATATATGTGTGTGTGTGTGTGTGTGTGTGTATTCATATATATACTCTTATTACCCTAAAGCACCGTTTGCCTGTGGCCAAACTCTTTATGTCCATGAATATCTGGATCCGCAAAAAAAAAAATATATATATATCCGGTCCACCTCAAATGCCTATCCATTTATTTATATTAACGTAAATATAAATATAAATAAATAAACGGATTAATAGAAAAAATATGTATATATACATATATGAATGTATATAAGCATGTATGTGTATGCATATATATATATATATATATATATATATATATATATATATATATATATATATATATGTATATATATATATATATATATATATATATATATATATATATATATATGTATATATATATATATATATATATATCCACAAACACATATATATGAATGCATATATATGCATGTATATATGCGTTTGCATATATAAATATATATACACACACACACACACACATATATATATATATATATATATATATATATATATATATATATATATATATATATATATATGTCTATATATGTATATATATACACATATATGAATGTATATATGTGTATGCATATACATGTGTGTGTATATATATATATATAATATACGCATATATATGTATATATATATATGAATATATGTATAAATATATATATATATATATATATATATATATATATATATATATATATATATATATATATATGAATTTATATATGCATGTATATACGTATGCATACACACACACACATAAACCTATATGTATATATATATATATATATATATATATATATATATATATATATATATATATATATATATATATATATATATATATGTATATGTATATATATATATATATATATATATATGTATATATATATATATGTATATATATATACATATATATGTGTATATATATACATTTATAAGTATGTATATACATATATACACACACACACACGCACATATATGCATATATCTCTATACATGTATTTATATATTTATTAATCAATATTCATATTTACGAACATATATATATATATATATATATATATATATATATATATATATATATATATTCATATTATATATTATACATACATACACACACGCATGCACACGCACACACACGCATACGCACACGCACATATATATATATATATATATATATATATATATATATATATATATATATATATATATATATATATATACATGTGTCTGTGTGCATACACATATACATTCATATATAAATGCATATATATGTGTAGCCGCCGAAGTACACCTTTGATTTGTCAATGGCAATGGGGTGACTGATTCCATGGTTTTTAACTCTGAAAAAAAAAAAAAAAAAAAAAAAAAACAGCACAGTGGGTTTCTGATTCTGTAATAAACTCAACATCGTGGGTTTTTAACTCTGCAATAAAAACATAACAGGTTTTTGTGGTCCAGTGATTTCCAGGATTTCCTCGTCTCGTGCTTGCAGTCGTCGCGCGCTGCCCTTTCCACCGTCTGTTGCCGACAGGCTTATTCAGTAGCAGTCAAACCTGTTAAATAATACATCGATTTTACAAAAGCACACAATATACAAAGCCACTAAATATCAACGCACGTTAGACGTTAGATTATATAATACAAACTTCCTACAAATATTGGATACATACGCATTGCTAGAAGTCAGAATATCAGTCTGATTCTAGAATGATATGGGCGTCTCGACGGCACGGAGGTTCCCCTCGAACTGCCCTCACACTAAACATACACAGGCTACAACGCCAAGTAACATTCTACTTCACATGTTATACATTAGTTAGGTCGCGATCTTGCTATCTCACAGCATCGAACATATGAAGATCCGTCACCACTTCCTATGGCACGACCCCTCACACAAACACGTTTCTTGACAGGTCAGCTGTTACGGTTGATACAGACCATGTGCTGACCCGGTCGTCGCTTTCCCAGCGATTATGACACAGAAGATAAATTTATACCATACAGGCCTCTCCGTATTG